CTTCCTCTCCCTTCCTCTCTCTGAAATCAATAAAGATATATTTTTAAAAAAAAAATGTTTTGGCGGGGAGGGGCAGTGTTTCCTTTATTAATCAGGTCCTAGGTTGCTAACTACAAACATTGCTCATGGATGAGGGAAATGCCTTCAAATGGTCCTTTGATAGAGATTTTATATATATATTATGTATTTATATATAGTATTATATACTTTTATAAACTGTGACTATTTATAAGTGCTTTGAGGGTTACCGTAGCTAAACTTAGCTGATGTTAAAGTTACTTCACATAGGAATTCCATATACTTTTTAAGCATTTCATCTTCTTTTGTTTTCATTTTCTTTTTTTATTTTCCACAAACTATATTAAGCCTAGATCAACAAACTGGTAAAAGGAAAAACTTTTACCCCTAGGTTGAAGCCACTTTTCATTGGGAAATATTTATTGAGCAAGTAGCTTGTAATTAACCTGGACATTTTGCAATCTACCAAGGCAGGACTGCCCAGGCTATGTTACATCCTTATATTGAAACCTCCATTTCTACTATGCTTACCTTGCTACTATACTTTCTTATAAAGTATCTCATGTGTTTTTCCGGTGCTTTACCCATAGCCAATAAATGTTCAATAACAAAATGAAATCAACTCTTCAAACAAAATCTATCACCACAAAACATTTTGTAAAATATTCTAATTTAATTAAGAATTTTAAACATATCACATAGAGATAAATATAAAGATAGATAGTAATACCAGGGCAGTTGTACAAAATTAAAAACATTTTTTTGTTAAATGGGGTCATTAATAAGTAAACAGGGACTTAGGGACTTACAATTCTACTTTATTGAATTGAACATTAGGATATATACTGCAATGTGATTATAGCTGCAATTTTATATTTAGATTCAGGTAGCATTATTAAAAGGCATACTTTCTGCAGTATTAGTATGCTGGACAATAGCCTCGAGCACCCTGATAGGATGTTGTTTCAGGTTCACCTAGTTATATAATGATGATTCAGAAAGTTAATCATTGAAATGTGCCCTTCAGTTTCCCCACTCCTTTCCTAATCTAATCAGCTTGCAAATGCAATGAGCCAATTTTAAAACTTAATTCCAGTTAATTTATAACAAGGATTTTAAAAAAATATTTACAATTGATTTCAAAAAGAATGTTTACAATGTGCTAAAGACCATCTTCAATTCATTTTACTGAATTTATAGTATTCAGTAAAAGGAGTATAACTTTAGGAAATACATATGTCATCTTCATCTTTACATGCCAAATCTGCTCTAAGTGGTGGCAGCTGGCTTAAATTCTTTTTTTAAAAACCTCTACTCCACCTTAAAAATGAAAGTATATTTTTTCAAAATATGTAATTACAGTCTAGGAAAATGTAAATCTAAAATGTTAATATTGTTGACCCAAACCTCCTGCTAATTTCCAGGCACTCATAAGACTCTAAATACTTCTTTCATAAGGATTATGTATCTTCACAAGTCCTCGACTTCTGCTTGTCCGTATGAAGCAGACCCAAGACCTCAGCAGAAGGAAGTGTGAAAGGGAAGCTCCAGGTCACCATCACTCAGCGCAGACCTCCAGTCTCTTAGAATCTCAGAACATCAGGATGCTGAAATGTAAAATGATCATTTTTAGTGATTTGTGCCCATACCTTCCAAACAAGGACAGTTTAAGCAACTACCCTTCTTATCTGTTATGGGAAACTTCAGGTAAACTCTGTTGGAAATTCTTCTGGGCCTGAGGTGCACACCAATGAACTTTCTTTCTCAAATGTTGTTCTGACAGTTTAACCCATTGTTTTCTTGCTTAAAAAGAGTTTGAATGTATGTTCATAATACAATGACCTGGTAGCTAGGCCAGGTGTGGAGACAAGAGACCACACTGAAAAAGCACTCGGGGAAATCTAGTGAGAATTTGGATCTCTGGTTAAGGTACAGTTAGTTCCTTTTGCTAATGAAACCCAAATCCTTGGAACATTGTGGATGCTCAATAAATCTTTACAGACCCGGTGAGTGAAACTGCACTTCATCTTGGAGACAGGCTCTCTGATTGCTGTTTCAAACATCCGTGAGCAGACATCGTAGTTGACGCTTAAGTGAATTTTTCGTGTTCTACCTCCCTACCTTTGCCCAACCCTCAGAAGCGACAAGAATAGTGACAGGAATGCTCCTGTTTGCCTGGAGCTTGTCTGCTCTGCGGGAGGAATTCGGGGTGTGGTGGAGACAGCACAGGCCTTGCACTGAGTTTGCGTTCCCGTGCTGCCCCTGCAAGGCCTGGCTGGCAAGTTTTGTATTTGTCTTTCATAATCAGTTTATTCAACTGAAAATGGTAAAAATAATATGTGACCTTCAAGGATCAGAAACAAGCGCTTTTGAAGAAGCCCTTTGAAGACTGTACAGAAAATGAAAATGTCGTAGCATTACGTAAACAACCTAGCATCTTTATGATGAAATGAAAATAGCTAAGAGGAAATCAATCCAATGTAGAAAAAACAAGGCCCAAAGGATTTTAAAAAATCGGTTAATATAGACAATGATATATTAAGTCTATGAAAAGTAATCAACTCTATCAATCTTGCTAGGTTAGATACAGTCAATGCAGTGCAATATGACATTTTGGTCAGTGAGGGACCACAAATGCCACAGTGGTCCCATAAGGTTGTAATGGACCTGAATTTCCTGAAGAAATGGAAGAGTATGTGGTTCAGGAGGAATTTTTTTCCTCTGATGGGAGCAACGTCTGGATGGCAATAGATTCCCTCTCACTCACAGTATCTCAATTTTTTTTAATATTTTTATTGATTGATTTGAGAGAGAGAGAGAGGAAGGGAGGGGGAGAAAGAGGGGGAAAAAACCATCAAATTGTTATTCCAGTTGTTTACGCATTCATGGAAGATTCTTGAATGTGCCCTGACCAGGTATGGAACCCGCAACCTTGATATATCAGGATGATGCTCTAACCAGCTGAGCTACCTGGCCAGGCACAGCACTTCAACTCTTAGCTCACAAATTACATGCGAATGAGTCAGCTGCTGACCTGTTTCGGCACAGAGGAGCCTGTCCCCCAGCACTACATATTCAGATCTAGCTTGACAGTCTTCAAAGCACACTGCTGTAAATTCCTTGTTGAGGAGCTAAGATCTAGTACAAGGACACAGGTCCTCAGGAGCTACCTTAATAAGTACTAAGCACCACAAACACTTTAGTAACAGCTTTCTGTGGCAGTGTGGAGCCAGCCTCTCCCTGTACTTTGGAAATATTTTTATGTTGCTATGATGTAAAACATAGATGAGTTTTATTTCTTCTATTAATTCAATGCAGAGAGAGTCCTTTGTTCCAGATAAGGTCAATGGAACTGAAAAACAAATTTCCAAAGTCAAAGTATTGAGTTCTCAGTTCTACACCCTGTCTGTGTTAAACACCTCTTTTTTAATGAGTACCACAAAGTTCCCTAATCTGACCACTGCTTCACTATGCAACAGTCAAAAATCACCTTGGCATGACAACCCTATGTTCCTTTCTCTCTCCATCTGATTTCTTATTCTTATTGACCTTCAGGCCAGCATACGCTCCCTCCTGTCAGTCACTACTACAGTGGTCTATGCCTTTTCCAGCTTCTCCTGGATATTTCCAATCAGTCCAGCCCACATCCCTGTTCATGGAGCAGCACTGACAGCTTCGATGTTCTATTTCTCACCCTGTCAGAGGAAGCAGGGGGAGGGCTGTGGGGAAGTGTCTATAAAGTCTACAGCAGTGCACAGTGACGTCCTTGGCCTTCACAGTCACTCTCCATTCACTCACTGACTCACCCAGAGCAACTTCCAGTCCTACAAGCCCCATTCGTGACAAGTGCCCTATATAAGTGAACCATTTTTTATTTTTACACTATATTTTTACTGTACGTTTTCCATGTTTAGATATGTTTAGATACATAAATACTTACCATTGTGTTACCATTGCCTACAGTATTCAGAACAGTGACATGCTGTAGAGATTTGTCCCCAGGAGCAATAGGCTAAACCAGGTTTGTGTAAGTGCACCCTATGATGTCTAAATAAGGGCAAAGTCACAAAATGATGCATCTCTCAGAATATATCCCCATTGTTAAGCAACACATGACTGTAATCAAAAATAAAACATGACGGAAATGAGTACATTTATATATATATTACATTTTAAAAGTAGCCAGTGAAATGGAGACAGGATCACCATAAAAAAATAGATACCCCTACCCTAAACAAGAGCAATGCAAATCTTTCATTAATTTTTTTTTTAAGGTAAAAGGTGGGTTATCAGCTGGTCCAGGTCAAAGTTCCTTGCCAGGAAATCAGTCACTAGTTTTGGAAAACTATCTGCTTTTCCAAGCACATATTTTCTCTTTAGACTTTCCCAAATAATATTTAAATTTTATTATATTTGCTTCTTCTGTCTCCTGCATTTTTACCTTTCCCCTACATTGGACTATTGTCAAGAGCACACAAATAAGCTATTCTCCCATCTTAAGAAACAAAGGCAAAAAAGAAACCCATAAAAAACCTTTCATGACCCCACATCTCCTTCTAGCTGCCCCATATCTCTGTTCCTTTTACTGAAAAACTACTTTACAGAAAAGCTCATCTCCAATTCACAGTTTCCAGTCCCACTTCCTGTCCTGCCATCCTCTCCTGAGCCCACTCAGCTCCCTGCTCTTCAGCTCTTGTCAAGGTCACCCGTGACACAGACACGCTCAGTGCGAGGCCAAAGCTTGTTCTCTTCCCTCAACATTATCCGGAGCACAAAAATGAGGGGCTGCTTGGTACAAAGGCGGTTCTTTAGGGCTGGCTCCTTAGAGGAAAGAAGACTTGAACTGACAGACAAACAATAAGAGATTTAAGCTGAGCCTCCTCTCTTTGACCATTTGTGCAGTGTGGGGAGATTACAGATTTTTCAGGAATATTAAAAGTAAAATTCGTTCATTCATTAAGTATCTACTGGGCATAGTACCAGGCACCATTTCAGTGGCTGGAAATATAGAAGAGGCAAAATACACCAGGTCCCTGCCCCCCAAGAAGCATGGGAACCCTCTCATTTTACTGCAGAGACTGACAACGAAAAAGCAGGGATGTGATCCAGTGACAGCAGGAGGAGAAAAAGAGAGTGAGGGCCAGAGGCAGTGCCGGAGGGACAGACAAGGTGGGGAGCGGGAGGGAATGCTGTTTTCTAAAGCTCAGGGAGGGCCTGCCTGATTAGGTGACATCGGGCAAAAACATAAAGGAAATGAGCCAGGCAGGAATCTTGGGAAAGAATATTCCAGGGAGAGGGCAGGGTAAATGCAAAGGTGTTAAAGTGGAGTGTTGGCAAGTGAGAAGAGGGAGGAGGCCAGTGTGGCTGGAGCAGAGTGAGAGCAGAAGAATAGTAGCAGCTGGGGTCAGGGGGCCAGATCATCTGGCTACTGCATGTTTGGGAATTTTATTCTGAGAGAGAAAAGAAGCCATTAGAGGGTTTTGAGAGAGGTGTGATCTGATCTGACTGCCTTTTTAACAGTCACAATCTGGTTGCTCTGTGGGGAATGTTTTAGATGGGGGCAAAGGGTAAGAGAAGGGAGGCCATTTAAGAAGCTACTGTAATGCAGGAAGGAGATGATTATAGCTTGGACAAGTGATGAGGCTCGTGAGAAACAGTGAGATCCTGGTAAATATTTCAGGATTTGCTGAATTATTCACTGCATGGGAGAAAGAGTATAATCCAAGGTTTGGGGCCTGATTAACAGGAATTATGGAGCCATCATTTACTGAGATGAGAAGACTATGAGAAGAGTAAGTTGGGGGTTAGGTCAGAGGTGGCAGCAGGAGTGGTTTGGGGCAGTTTAATTTTGCACATTTAACGAATATCTAAGTGGATACGTCAGGTAGGCAGTTGGGCATATGAGTCTGTAGCTCAGGTGGTGGTCTAGGCTGAAGATATAAACATAAAGCCATGAGACCAGAGGAGATTATCTTGGAAGTACCTGTAAATAAGGAAAAGATCTGAGGACTGAGCCCTAGGGGACACCAAAGTTGGAGATCTGAGCATGTGGAGGCTCCAGCAAATATTTCTGAAAGGAGTGACCATTGAGGTAGGAGGAGAGGAAACAGATCAAGAACAACAAACAACAAAGTAATATCTAAAAGCCAAGTGGACAGAGTGTTGGGGAAATGGGGAGGCATCAGCTTTATCAAATCCTGCCGATAGTTCACATAAGACCAGGACTGAAAATTGACCATTCTGGTGTGAATCTCAATTGTCCCTATAAAATGCAACAATCCCTTTTGGTTTGTTTATTTTGGCTCTGAGTCCAAAATTTTTTTGCTGATGCTATTGAGGATTACTTTTTCATACATGTTCTTGCACATATTGAGAAAAATGGATATAATTAGCACTTCCTGTCCAATAAAATGATTCCCATAAAGAGATTGCTGGTGCCTCCCATTAAGGCCTTTCAGGAACTTGAGTTGAAAATGCTAATATTAAAAATGTACCCACCAATATTAGTCTTAAATCAAGGTGAGGGATGACCAATCATCTTTTATATCATTGTGGTCACAGTCTCATGTTAGATAACTTCATACCCATCTTGAGAATCAAGACCTTTAAGGGAGATATGATGAGACAATAGGCTTCTCTCACTCCTCAAAGCAACAGCGTTCAAGTCGGCCCTCCCAGGCCAGAGGCTCCACTGTTCTTACCTCCAAAAATGCATCCTTTCCATGTGCGTCCAGTGAAGAGCAGCATAGGGTCGTAGGTGAGCATCTTGGCTGATGGAGGAGCACCTACCACCACACTGGTCCCATAGTTCATATGGCAGGATGCGAGGGCATCAACCTAAGTTTAAAATGAAGGAGGCTATTTGTTTGTCTCATAGTATCTTATGAGCTCATAAATGCCCTACATACTCTCACAGTTCTAGTAGTTAGTTCAAGTTTCCAAGTCACGACACTAAATTAGGCCCACATGCCATTTGTTTTCTGCTTGTCTCTTAAAATTCTCAACATGGCTCTAGTCTTAATTTAGTCTTTATAAATTTGCCCTTTAAGGCAGAAAGCAGAAATTGTTGTGATTGGTGTTCAAGACATTTTCAGTGTGCCATGGATGAAAGCTTAGGGGGAAATTCCTGTGATATCAACCAATATCATTATTCCAGATAAGCCTTGGAAAGTCATTTGACTAAACTAAATTGAATTAACTATACTAAATCAATTAACCTAGTGTGGTTTTTTATGTCTAGTGTGAAAATTAAAATATTAAAATGTAAGACAAAGGGGTTTCTCTTTTTTGGTGGCATTTCTGAAACTAACCCCACATTTTCTGGTCATTCATCCATCCGGGTTTTCATTAATACAGCAAGTCCTTGAGTAATGCCATTTCATTCAATATTATCAATAAGAAAAAGCAATTGATTCCTGGCCAGGGCCACTATCTGTGTCTGTGGAGTTTGTACATTCTCCCCACGTCTGCACGGTTTCTTCCAGGGACTCTGGTTTCTTCCCACATCCCAAAGATGTGCACATGCAATGGACTGGCCTGTCTCAATTGTCCCAGTCTGATGAGTGCGGGTGTGGGTGTGAATGCCCTGCTATGGAAGGTTCTCCTGTCCAGGGTGGGCCCCGCCTTGTACTGAGCTACTAGGACAGACTCTGGGCACTCGAGATCCTAAATTAGAACAAGCCGGTTGGAAAATAATTAGTTTAGTAGTTTTAATTAATCTTTCTTAAATGTATTTACAGGCTCACATTTATTTAATTTGTTTAGTATTGGAAGTGTTTTGGGTCTTTATTTAGAATTTTGGTGATGTTTTTGTGAGCAGAGATATGCCATAGGAGCTTAACGCTTGTTTATATCAATTAGTCCATAGCAAAATTGGTTTTGTTATATGTCCTTTCACTTAAAGTTACAGTTTCCAAAAACCTATGGAGAACTTTTAGTGAGAACTTACTGTACTTTTTTGACTAGTTGCTAGATTGTAGCAATGGATGTTGGCATTTTTCAGAGATCAATGTTCATCAATATATCATCTGGAAATCAACAGTCCTAACAATATATCCGATATCTGTAAACGTACCACCTAGAATGATATCTGTTTGTATGCAGTAATTCTAAGCAGCACTAGAAAAGGAGTATGACAACAATGGTAAATTAAAGACTGTTTGTAAATTACTAACAGTATTAAAGTAAATTGAATCTACTACTCAGTCATGTGCAAGATTGGCTTTGTGTCATATTTCAGAGTCTCCTTACCCTGCCCCAGGCTGGGACTTCCTTACCCAGAAGCTCTGCACCTGTTTCTACATGGAGGGCTGGTGCTACTGGCTGCCACAATGGAGCCATGTTTGAAAAAGTTGAAGGTTCCTATTCTAAGGGAATTCAGATAAAGGAAAAGAAATCTCAGGTATAAAGAGTGAAAAGTTGGATACATCATAGATTTGGGGGAAGAGACTGCCAAATTTGGAACAGTTCACTTATTTCCCCCTGGATCTCCTCATCTCTCCTCAGGGAGTTACTCTGTGGTGTTTGGCTTGCTGAAGTATAACGGATGGGATCACCTTTGCCAATAAATCCACATATTCAAACAAGGAAGAGAACACAGAAATTTGTTTGGATGGTTGACTACCTTGAACTCTGATCACATGAGAGTGGTGTGATGTGATACCTCAGTCATGCAGACCTGCTCATAAGCTTACGGCTTTTTAGACAAAATTGCTTTGTGCTTACCAGTTTTTGCCTAATAAGTATTTCCATAATTATTTGTTAATAAAGCTGTGGAAAATACCTTGTGCAATCAAATAGCTTGCGTATTGTGTGGCTCCCCTAATCTTCGCTCTCACATTGTTTCAAGATGCCCAACAACTTCAAAAGTGTAGCTCACAGTGTTGCCTGTCATTTCTGACAGCACCTCACTGATGGGCTTGGTAGAGTCCTTGGAGCTGATGCAGTCAGTGGCTCCTACTGCAGCAGCCTTGGCCTTCCCAAATTTGTCTTTGTTAAGGTCAATTCCATTGATCTTGGATGCACCAGCTGACTTACAGCCCATGATGACTGAAAGGCCAACTCCTCCCAGGCCAGAGACAACACAAGTGGAACTGGGGGTGACCTGTGAAGAGAAACCTACCTACTACCTACCTGAGACCTTCATTTGGATGTCTCACAGGTATCTCAAGCTGAATATGTATAAAGCTGAATTCTTAAATTTCTTATCCCCTGCCCCTCAAACATTTTTACACCTACTACAATTTTTCATCATTGATCTTTCCTCTCCATTACCTTATATGCAATCCAACAGCAAGTCCTGTTAACTTTACCTGCAAGGTATATTTTAAATCTCTCCAGGTACAAACTTCTGGTTGTCTTCTCCCAGTGGTGTCCCATGAACAGAGCTTAATTCTCCCAGGGATGATCAATGACAACACACGTGTGTCAACTAGAGAAATTCACTCAAATCTTGGTGTCAGCGTTTCTATTGGGGAACATAGATGTGACCTCAGCTACTCAGACCCCAGCACCACCAGAGGTCAAGCTGATGGCTCAAAGCCCCAGGCACTCAAAAAACGCATTCACCATAAACCACAGCGTTAGCATAAACTATCTGGCATAGCCCAAGGTCTCAGGTACAAAGACACTCATATCAGGCAGAATACTCCAAAGATTCAAAAGTTATCTTCCAGGAGCTGATCAAGAGCCAGTCCTGAAGACCTCTGGAATGGTCAGACACAGATTTTTTTAAAGAACACTACAGGGATCAGAGTAGTGAAGAAAAACAATAGCAAAAAGTAGAACCTTATAATATTTTAAATTACTAAAATATTTTAAAATTATGTACATTTAACATTTTTATTTTAGACTTCTACCATAATGATATGGAAAATTTACTATTGCTATTAATTTCTAGGTGCTATTCTTTAGAACAGGAAAGTTGGGAAAGGGAGAAAAGTTGTTGGTTTATTATTGTTGTTGGTTTTGGTTCTTGGTTTTTTGGGTTTTGCTGCTGTTGGGTTTTTGTTTTCGTTTTTGTTTCTCTGGGTAGAGGGAACAATCTGAAGTTAGCAGAGATTAGAGCCATGATCCATTTAAAGGCTCAGAGGCAGGGTGACTGGAGGGTTAAGAAACTGTCAGTTTACAGTTGGATGACTGGAACCTAGGGAGAATTGTTTAGAGGTACAGTTCCTTAATGATTAAAAATATAACACTTCATAGTCACCATAGCCTAAAGCTTACTAGAGATTAAATAAAAAAGCACTATAGTGCGGAATAGAGACTTTTTCCATACCTTCCTGGAGCTTATCGCCTAATAAGTAAAACTAAAGATATAAGACTTTGAGATTTAGGACACATACTATTAATGAAGCAGTCATGTTCCCTTGAATAATGGAAGAAGTTTCTGTTAGATGGAATAGAGAGAAAAACAAGAACTTCTCTGAGCAAGCAGGTGATTTTAAACTTAGTGATGTTAAGGCACCAATCACATAAGGGCTCAGGAGATGAGTATTCCAGACAATCAGAATATATGTGTAAATGCCTCCATGCAGGAACAGCTCAGCAGGCTTCAGGATCCTGAAAGAGGCAAGTGTGGCTGGATCACAGTGGGTGAGATGATTTTGTTCTAAGTATGAAAACTACTGAAAGATTTTTGGCCAAAAAAGTAATGTAGTCCTATTTGTTTTATAAAATTAATTTGGCTTGCAAATGGAGAATTATTAGAGATGGTCAAGAAGATTAATGAGAACAACAGAAGGGAGGCCATAGCATCTGTTCAGTCAAGAGGAATTGTGTTCCCACCTCCAAATTCATATGTTGAAGTCCCACCTCCAAATTCATATGTTGAAGTCTTAACCCCCAGTACCTCAGAATGTGATCTTATTAGGAGATAGGGTCTTTACAGAGGTACCCAAGTTAAAATGAGGTGATTAGGGTAGGCCTAATCCAACATGACTGGTGTCCTTATAAAAAGGGGAATTTGGACACAAAGACTGGCATAAGTGGAAGACAATATGAAGGGACACAGTGAGAAAATAGCCAAGGAAATCTGCCTGGAACAGATCCTTCGCTCACAGCCCTCAGACAAAAACAATCCTGCCAGCACCTTGATATTGGGCTTCCAGTCTCGAGAATGTCAGACAATAAATTTCTATTTAAACCACTTAGTCTTAAACTCATTTCTGTTTAAGCCATTAAGTCTCATACTCACTGAAGATTCTGAACCTAATACCAATCATCATGTGTGAGCCCTCTCATCAAGTGATTTACAATATTGTTGCCTCTGGCTCTCTTTGAATCTCAGTGTCTGTCTATAGTAAATTGGTGCTTTATGATAGAACCAGAATACAGATGTTACCATGTGGCCAGCATAAAAGTAGATTTTTATAGCCAGGCTCTCTTAGGACTCTTAATGAAAGGTAAAGGGAATGTTGTGCAAGAAGGTGAGGGACAAAGTCTTACTGTCACTACAGTGCACAGGTAAGAGAAGGTCAAAGAAAGACTGGCAGCAACACCTGCTCAACAACCTGGTGTCCAAACCAATGGTTAGGCTCTGTCCAAAGGAATGGGGGAAACACTCCAGGAAGTTGTTTCTCTAGGCACAAATGAGTTTCTCATTCTTTGGGAAAAGTAAGTAATCTCAATACTATCTGACTTCGAGAAGATTTTTTTTAAAGTTATTAGTCATGATTCCTAATCATTTTTTATCAGAATCTTATCAATAAAAATTCAACAAATAAAAGTGTTAATAGAGCAGATTAGTAGTGTTGTTTTTAATGGATAATTGTCATTATTTTCACATCCAGTATGACAATATCTTTAATAATAAACAAGAACCAGTAAGAGAATTAATATACAACATTTAGGAAACATCTCCTTATTTAAGAATCCAACCTCACAACAATGATTTACTCAATAAAGGTGTGATAACATTTTAGGCTTATGTACTCTAAGGCTCATTACCTTAATCCGAACTTCTTTAGCCTTTGATAGGGCAACTTCTATTTCCTCAATGGAAAACAGTTTATTTGGCTCCCATAACACAGCTGCTTTGCATTTAATAACCTAAGAAATTGGTGAGAGTTGCAATGGGTCATAATTATGTCTTCACAAATACAGATTCCCCAAATTTAAAAAAATATATCTAACAAAGATTTCATATAATATTCTAATTTGCCCAGAATGATTTTCATAAAAAACTAGAATTGTAATCCTTAGAGATCATCTTGTGAGCACCTGTTTTGATGTATGAGAAATGAAGCCCACATGATGGATCCATGGTCACATAGCACATGAGAAGCAGGGCTGGACTAGATCTGGGCTACAGCCTCTTCAGCCCTTTGCTATTTTTGCTTGTGGTCACATAATATTTTACTAAATCAGGTACTACAGTTTCAAATTAACAAAACTGTTGTCTTTGTATCACTTATTCACAAGGACAACTCTATAAAACCAAATTTTATTTGCTAATTTTTCTGCAAGAATTTAAGCCAGTATTTAAGTGCTGTATAATCATGTTGCAATGGGGAAGAAATTTAAAATGAGCATGCTAGAGATGAAGGAAGCCATGAATGTCATGAAGTATATAGACTGAGTTCCTGGGTGACTCAACCTGGAACTTTTCATCTCTGTATCCTTGTTTTGGCACCTAGCCCAGTGTTTGCATCTTATTGGTCTTGATAATTATGCAAGTTACAGCTTCTCATCTTACAGAAGAGGAAATAGGGTGGAGATACTCAAGGACTAGCCTCCAGTGTTCAAGGAAATTGTTTTTGTTGAGATTATCAAATTCTAAGAGTGAGAGAGAGAGAAAAACTCTATCTTCCCACACCCAAATCTGTCTAGAAATCCTATAAAATATTATAATTAATTTGTGCAGATGCAAAATGAGTTATCCCTCATCTTAGTTGTCAACTAATGCAACACTCCTGCAGGGCTCCTTTAGAAGGTTACATGGCTCCTTTAAAAACATTAAACTTGAGAAATACTGTGCTAGAAACAGATGGGTGGCTGAAAGCCATCAGTGACTCAAACTAGTATTAATCCTAAGCCTCCCTCAGGAAAATGTTTTGGGTCTCAGTGTAATGTGGCCCAATGTTGAAATTAGAATTGTACACCACAATTTCACACTAATTCCAACTGGATTAAGAGTTGAGATTTGTTTTTAAAATCAAATTACTTTATCAGTAAAGACATAAATATCAAATATATGGAGCATGGAGGGAGTTTTACCTTAAGAATGATAGGAAAAAGTCATAAGGAAACTTCCAAAAATGAAAATTTTGTATATTGAGAAACAGTAACTAAATCTGCCAAATTTAACTAATTTAAGCCAGAGTCTGAGGAAAAGAATCCTTACAGCAAAAATGAAAAAATAAACATTTTTATACATACAATGCTTAATTAAATTTCTAAGGAAAGCATGAAGACATTCACTCCTCCTACTCCTGCCTTCCCATGTACCATACTCACACCCAGAGACATGCAAGAATAAGGGGGAAATTTCAAGTTAATAAATATATCGTGAAGTGCTCATTTCCTCTGTTATAAAATGGCCTTTTTGAAGAGGGAAGAAGGCTGCACTCTTGACAAGAAGCAGAGCGCCCTTGCTCCCAGCTAAGGACTGGATTTACCACTAAAATACTGCATAAACAGCTGAGAAAAACAAGAGAAATATACCTGAGTGGACATATTTCAAGTAAGGAGCACTGAAGAAACATCATAGAGTCTGGTAAGAGGGGGACATAGAAAGAGGGAGTCCCTCTGAAGCCTGTGCTGGGCTCCGAGGCCAGAGGGTTAGAGGCTAAAAAGCTCCCTCCCCTTGGGAGTGTGGACTGGCCTCCAAAAGCAGGGATCCCACACCCCGAGAGCAGAGGGGAAGGGAAGGAGCACCCCACGCACAGACCAGAGGGAGCCAGAGGAACAGTGTGCCTGCGAGGAGGGGACCGCTCCTTCCCAGTGAAACAACGCACCTAATGGCAGCACCTGGGACAGGGGATTTTCAACCTAGAAGCTGACCACAGGGGGAGGCTGTTCTGCAGGGGGTGGCTTCCAAATAAAAAGGGGCCAGAGGGCTGCACTCAGCAGTGACCTACAGGGACCCTCCGCCTTCCTGTAAAGCATTGGGTAGAAGCCCAGAAAGCATTTGATCTGTGTGGCACGGGGAAGGGGAAGAGAGACCCGCCCCCACCAGAGAGGGACCAGAGTTGCCAGTGGGGCAGGTAGGGTCTCCAGCCCCCAGAGCTGCTAATGGGGTGAATCAGATTTTGACCTGCTCTGAGGGGAGCTGGGATAGCGCACAAGGAGCTGCCCCAGCTTCACTGAGATCAGCTGTGCAGGAGACCTGCTAGATTTCAGGAGGCTCTGAGTTATGGTGGTTCTGTATTTTAGTTGTAATTTTGATGTGGTTGTGGGAGGCAGTGGGTACAGCTGTTACCTACAGTGCCATCTTGTTTGCTCTCTGTCTTCCTGTCTATGTTTGAGCATTTGTTTGTGTTTGTCTATTTAATTTGTATTTTTAATTTTTCAACCATTTTCCTATTCCTATCCTCTACCCTCAGTTTTTTGCTTACCCTTCTTTCCTTTCAAAATCTTTTCTCTGCCCATTTTATTTCCCAGTAGCTTCTCTACTTTTAACTTTTTACCTTATTTTATTATTTTATTTTACTATTAGCAATAATACCCTTCTCTCTCACTTTTTTTTTTTCTTCAGCATTTGTGTTCTCATTTCACTCTCCCAATTCTACTTTCTCTTTGGTTGTTTTCATTGTGATTGTCAGGATATTTTGTAAGTTACTGTTGTGTTTTGTTTTGCCCTGTCAGCACCTGTACAACAGCTCACACGGTGTAGTTGTGGCTGAACCTCAAAGTTAGCCAACCTGAGAGGAAGGTCTTCCCATGAACAGGTCAACAACAATCTAGACCCAATCATAACAGGAGAGCCCAAATAAACCCTCAAAGGGACACCCACAAAAGGGACATGCCTAGAGCATATAACTCAGAAGTACAAGAAAAATGCACCTCTGGGCTCCACTGGACATACGCTACAAAATCCCACCCCACAAAACTGGGAGACAGCAAATATATCTAATATATAGATACAAACACTAAGAGTCACTAAAGTGCGGAGACAAAGAAACAACCCCCAAATTTTTTAAAAAAAGGAAAAATCGCCGGAAAAAGACCTTGAAAAGATGGAGTTAAGCAAGTTATCAGAAATAAAGTTCAGAGTAACGGTTACAAAGATGCTCAAGAAAATTGCTAAGAACCACAAGACACTTAATGGGAAGATCCAGTAACTTAGTGAAAGCTTCATCAGCATGAAAAAATATATAGATATGATAAATAACAACCAGGTAGAAATGAAGACTAGTATATCTGATTTCAAGAATAAGCTGGAAGGAATTAAAAGCAGGCTCAATGAAGCAGAGGATAGAATAAGTGAATCAGAAGATAAGGTAGGAAAAAACAATCAGAGCAGCAAAAAGAAAAAACGCTTAAAAAGCATGAAAACAGTTTAAGGGAATTTGGGGACAACATGAAGTGAAACAACATTCACATTATAGGGATAACAGAGGGGGAGGAAAGTCAGCAATGGATAGAGAACTTGGTAGAAGAAATAATGACAAAAACTTCCCTAACCTGGTGAAGGAGAAAGCCACACAAGTTCAGGAAGCATGGATGGTTCTAAACAAGAGGAAGCCAAAGAGACCCACTCCAAGACACATCATAATTAAAATGGCAAATGTTAAGGACAAAGAGAGAATATTAAGGGCTGCAAGAGAGAGACAAGCAGTTACTTACAAGGGAGCCTGCATAAGGCTGGCAGCGGAATTCTCAATAGAAACACTTCAGGCCAGAAGGGAGTAGCATGAAGTTCTCCAAGTAATTAAAAGCAAGAACCTGCAACCAAGACTGCTTTATCCAGCAAGGATATCATTTAAAATTGAAGGTGAAATAAACAGTTTCGCAAATAAAAGAAGGCTAAAGGAGTTTCAGTACCATCAAACCAGCATTGTAAGAAATGCTAAAAGGACTGCTTTAATAAGAAAAAGGAAGATTGAGAGAAAGGTACATCAGCAAAAAGGGAAAAAATGGCATTAAATAAATATATATTGATAATAACCTTAAATGTAAATGGATTAAATGCTCCAATCAAAAGACATAGGCTAGCTGAATGGATAAGAAAATATGACCCATATATATGCTGTCTACAAGAGACCCAGCTGAGAGCAAAAGATTCACATAGGCTGAAAGTTAAGGATGGAAAAAAATATTCCATGCAACTGGAAACAAAACAAAAAAAGCTGGAATAGCAATACGTATTTCTGACAAAACAGACTTCAAAATAAAGACTATAACAAGAGACAAAGAGGCCACTACATGATACTAAAGGGATCAATCCAACAGGAGGAAATAACCCTTATAAATATATATGCACCCCAATATAGGAGCATCTAAATATATAAAAAATTCTTGTGGACTTTAAGGGGGAGATCGAGGGTAACACAATTATAGTGAGGGACTTTAACACCCCACTGTCATCATTGGACAGGTCATAAAGACAAAAAATCAACAGGGAAATAGAGACCATGAATGACACACTAGACCTAATGGATTTAATTGACATTTACAGAACATTTCATCCCAAAGCAGCAGAATATACATTCTTCTCAAGTGCACATGGAACATTCTCAAAAATAGACCACATGTTAGGGCACAAAACAAGTCTCTACAAGTTCAAGAAGATTGAAATCATATGAAGCATCTTCTCAGATCACAATGGCATGAAACTAGAAATCAACCACTATAAAAAAACCTCAAAAATATTCAAACATATGGAGGCTAAATAGCATGTTATTAAACAATGAATGGGTACCAATGAGATCAAAGAAGAAATCAAACACTTCCTGGAAAAAAAAGAAAATGAATAGACAACAACCCCAAATCTATGGGACACAGTAAAAGCAGTCCTGAGAGGAAAGTTCATAGCATTACAGGTATACTTCAAGAAACAAGAAAAAGCTCTACTAAACCTGCTAACACAACAACTAAAAGTATTAGAAAGAGACCAGAAAGTAAAGCCCAAGGAAGTAGAAGGAAGGAAATAATAAAGATCAGAGCAGAAATTAATGACAGAGAGACTA